AGACTGTACGGCATATGTTGCTCCACTGATCATGAAATATATAGTCAACATTTGTATATATGACTTAGGTTTAAAAAAAAAAAAACAAATTAGTGGCCTCCTTGGTGGTGCAAGGGGCCAAGCATCACACTATGAAGCAGTCTGCAGCCTCTGCAGCACAAGTTCGATCCCTGGCCAGCCAGGGAGCAACCCACATGGCAGCAGACCTTTCCTGACTTGCCCGCTGCTCCCCTCAGCAGCCTACTTCAGTCAATCTGCCTGTTTTGTTCCCCACTCTGTCTCTGGTGATTCTTCTCACCCCCTGCATCTCTGGCCTGTATCCCAGCTCTTGTATTCATAAATAAGCAAATCTTTAAATAAATAAATAAATAAAACAAGATTAGAGTCCTAATAATGTTGTATACATAATTCTGGGGAAAAAAAAAAAATCTCTAAATATACATGTGTGCTGGGTTTTAATTATAAATAGTAAAAATTCCATGAAATCTCACTTGAGAATTAGAAATATTAAAGACTTTCTATCATTGAGCAATTAATACAATTTTCTTTGCTTCACTTAAAACGATTAACAATATAACTAAAGCACAACTCCAAATTCTTTCATTTTCCACATCAGCAATCCTATTTTTTCTAACACTGTAATAACTCCATCTTAAAAGCCTACAATCTTAGATATGCAGACTAAATACGAAATTATATTAATGTCTACTTTCTGTGCTGATTGATTTCAGAATATAAGAAATCCCAGAATATGACAAAGTACAAACCTAATAGACCTTGCCTTTCTTTTAAGTCTTTCCCCTTAGTAGAGGAAGCCAGTCTTTTCTATGTGCCCTACAACACTTTGTTCAAACACCTACTACTACACTGTTTTTTAAACTACAATTTATTGCACTGATGATTTTTCATTTTTACTATATGGCTATGTCTCCAGTTGGTTAACGTTCTGAAGACAGGAAAAGTCTATCTTCCTCAAGACCCCCTCTCTTCTTTCAGTAAATACTTATTGAGAACCCAGTACCTGGAGCATTTGGGTTATAACAAAGATGAAAAACCTTGTCACAAAGAACCAGGTCCTTAAGAAATGCTGATCAGGGCCTCTCCTGGTGGCACAGGCGGTTGAGCACCACACTGTGAAGCTGTCTGCAGCCTCTGCAGTGTGGTTTCGATCCCCCACGACAGCGAGAGTCCCACAGGGCGCTGCAGATCTCTCCTGTGGTACCCGATGCTCCCCTCAGCACTGTATTTCGTCAGTCTGCCTGTTCTGTTCCCTGCTTTGTCTCTGGTGAATCCTCTCACCCTCCCACGATTCTGCCCTGCACCCTGGTTCTTGTATAAATAAATAAATCTTAAAAAAAAAAAAAAATGCTGATCAGTAGGTGCAATGACTAAGCTATGTATAGAGTAATACCCAACCAAAGAGCAACTTGTCATTACTCCAGACTGGGATAAGGACACTGGGGTATCATTCCAAGTCAGTAAAGACCTGAAATACAGAAACATTTGTTCATCTCTGTATTCACCTCTAGTGAGTGAGTGACAGGATTTTTTAAAAAATAGATTTATTTATTCATGCATACAAAAACCAGGGTATAGGCCAGATGTGTGCGGGAGGGCGAGAGGATTCACCAGAGACAGAGCAGGGAACAGAACAGGCAGACTGACCAAAATACACTGCTGAGGGGAGCAGTGGGCAAGACAGGAGAGGTCTGCTGTGCCAAGTGGGTATCTTGCCTGCTGGCCAGTATTGAACTCGCACTGCAGAGACTGCTGTCATCTTCACAGGCTGCCTGCGCCACCAAGGAGGCCCTGACAGGATATTTTCAATGCATTAATGAATAGTTCTGGAGCTGCTACAAATCTAGAGATAAGAATAATATGGAAATCACCAGTGAAAGAAAGTGAGAAATTGTTTAACCTTTGCTAAAATTAAATCTTGCTAGTAAGTCCTAATTATTCCTTCTGTTCAGCTGCCTAGCTCATATTCTTTATCTCCTTTTCACTTATGTTTCTCTTTAGAGCTCTTGAAAAAATGTTGAAGTTCTGACATTCGGAGGTTAGACGGAAAGTAAACTGGCCCAATGTAACAGTCTAATTTCCATGCTCCTGGTACCTATAATTAGCTTTTAAAATGGACTCCCCTGTTGGATCAGAACTCACTTCAGGACCCAGTGAACTAAAAATTTAATGTGCAACCTTTAAATTAAAAAAAAAAAAATTAAAACTCTATAGATTTTCAATGGTGCACACAGCTTGACTATACTTCTAAAGTTTCAACATTATGTATATTTTACTGCTGCTGTTTATATTAGAAAATGCTGTTTCCAGTCACTTATAATTCAGACTGACCCTTGATGGCAAAAAAGAGTCAAAATGACCTTAAAGTATTAAAATGTTAGAGCTGTGAGACAGTCAACAATGAGGCAGTAGACATAGAATAACATCACAATAGAACTTAGAAATAATGCATCACATAACACAAGGCAAAGAACTGGTTTTCTCAAATTATTAGCTTTTAGGGGAAAAAACTACTATATAAATGATCACCAGTGTATGCAATTATTGGAGCTAAAACACATGTTAAGGGCAGTCTATCCTTATGCTTCTGGCAATCAGTTGGCTGATTCATCGCCAGATGGCTTTACAAAGAATTAACTTCTTTCTACACCACAATTCCAGCTATTGCAGAGTAGGAATAACTGGCCTCACTTTAAGATTATGAAACTGTACAGGTGAAAATGCTTTCCTCTAACCTGTGCAATTCTTATTTTAATAAAATAGTACCTTTTTTAAAAAGATTTATTTATTTATGCATATAAGAACTGGGGTATAGGCCAGAGGTGTGGAGGGTGAGAGTATTCGCCAAAGACAGAGTGGGGAACAAAACAGGCAGACTGACTGAAATACACTGCTGAGGGGAGCAGCAGGTGAGTCAGGAGAGGTCTCCTGTGCCATCTGGGCCGCTCCCTGGCCGGGGATCGAACTCATGCTGCAGTGGTTGCAGATTGCTTCAGAGATCATGTCTAACCCCTTGCGCCACCAGGGAGGCCCTAAAATCATACCTATTTTTACATACATGTGACAATCTTTTTTCTAGTACCAGGAGGTATGAAAGGATGACAATAATCTCCAGGGTGTTAGCTCAGTCCCTAGCTGTTTCCTGAGTGAATAAATAATAGGAGAAAGAAGATATGATTCAATTAAGAAAACAAATGAAGGAAAAGTGAAAAACTCCACCTCCTGAAATTGTCACTTGAGCCAAGAGAAAGTTTATATATTAAAATAAACTGAACAATTACATCAACTACTATACAGGTCTTCATAACTTGTACCATGTCTTCTTAAAAAGTTTCCTTAAGGTTTGTTTTTATTTTAAAATTTACGTTCCCAAATATGTGAGGAGGGGATGAAATAGAGATTTCCTAATACCTTCAGTCCCCACACATACGTAGCTTCCACCTGTGAGCAGCATCCCCCATCAGAATAATGCAGTGTTTTATAATTATTGAAGCTACACTGATACAGTTATCACACAAAGTCTACAGTTAACATCACTGTTGGTACTGTGCATTCTATGGGTTCAGACAATTGTATGATGGTGGGTATTCACCATCATGGTACCAAGAGTATTTTCATCACCCTAAAAATTCTCTGTGCTCTGTGTATTCATTTCTTCCCCAAACAGCTTCCAATCTTTTTACTGTTACCATAATTTTGCTTTTTCTAGAATGTCATATAATTGGGATAATATGTAGACTTTTCAGACTGACATCTTTCACTTAGTAATATACATTTAGTATTCCTCTATGTCTTTTCAAGCCCTGATAGCTCATTTTATTTCAGCACTGAATAATATAGTTTATTGTTTAGATGTACTATAGTTTATTCATCTTGGTGGCTTTCAAGTTTAGGCAACTGAATAAGGCCATTATATATACAATGTGTTTTTATCCCAGCATATCAAGTACACAAAAGATACATGAATAAAATTGCAACAAATATATACATTCTGGATACAGATTTCTTATTTCACCCCTACCAAACTCCTAACAGAATAAATCTTCAACACTAAACAAAGTCTCTGAAAACTTCTGACAACATATTTTCCTGAACATGAAAAAAAGAATTGGGGTTGCATTTTAGCTAATGACTTCAGATAAGGAAGATGCATATATGACTGATTAATCATACTTATAAAAACAAATAGACATAATTTTTTATATTTTATGTATAAAAGGATATACTGATTATTTACTATCTGTCAGAAACTTCACACACACACACACACTCTCTCTCACTGAAAAGTTATGTAAATCTTGAAAAATGGATATAAACATTTTATATAGTACTAAGCCATATAGATAACAGGGAGATTGGTGATCAAGACAAAATATTCCTGATCACAGAGAACAAACAATTGCTAAGTAAATGAATAAAAAAAACTTCAGTAATAATGGAAAGCTAGGAAGCAACATGTAAAAAACAAAGGAAACTGAATGATGTAAGTTTTAGGGTGGTGCTATTCAGGCTGGGTGGTCCAAGGAGACATCTCTGAGAAATGACATACATTAGATTATATTTAAAAAAAAAATCAGCTCTGCCGTATAATTAACTTGACCTGGAACAGATAATAAAATACACTCTTGGGAAAGCATTCTTTTAAATCCTCACTCCCACTTGAAACTGTATGGTTAATCCAAAAAAACAAATGCACAGCTGTGCTTTTTTTGGATACCTACCAAGATGCTTATTTCACGCTCATGTGAATAAACTCTGTATTGGGAAAATTTCTGCTTCACATACTCATGGTCATTGTGGAATGAGTGTACCAAATCTTACCTCTCTCATTTACATGCATATTACATAATAATATACATTATTAATTAAATCCATTTAAAGAACAGCAAAGCAAACATGTAGTGAGGAAAATTTATAATTTACCTGAAACAGCATTAAAGTGCAAAAGATTTTTCCATTAAAAAAAAATAAAGATGGTGTGCTTAGGTGCCTGAGCTACTGAGGGTCTATGTCTGGGCAGCCGAAGAGTATGGTTAGCAAGATGAACAAAGATGCGCAGATGAGAGCAGCAATTAACCAAAAGTTGATAGAAACTGGAGAAAGAGAACGCCTCAAAGAGTTGCTGAGAGCTAAATTAATTGAATGTGGCTGGAAATATCAATTGAAAGCACACTGTAAAGAGGTAATTAAAGAAAAAGGACTAGAACACGTTACTGTTGATGACTTGGTGACTGAAATCACACCAAAAGGCAGAGCCCTGGTACATGACAGTGTAAAGAAGGAACTTCTACAAAGAATAAGAACATTCCTTGCGCAGCATGCCAGCCTTTAAGATTGAATTAGATTGTGTTGTTTTGTGGTTTTATTTCTGAAAGTAAAACTTGACATAAATTAGGAATCATTTTCCAAAATAAAATCCTTTTTTGTATAATGGTATACATTTTTCAGTAATGATGTATACATTGTATTGATTTTTTTCCCTAAATGTGTTATTTTAATAAATATCTCATGAATGAAAAAAAAAATAAAGATGACACCCCAAATATAAAGCCATCTAGTATTATATATCTGAGTTTATCATACATTTTCAAGGAAGAATTAGATTTATTGGGGATGCCAGTGATTTACCAAAGTATTACTTGTTTATAAAAATTATCTTATAAAGTATTGAAAAACAAGCTATTTTTTCCTGTAAATTAGAGAGGCATTCAATTTCTTGCCAAATTTTCTCTGTCAATTTGTGAAAAATGTAATGGTTGACTTGAATTGTTTTGTAGATACATACACCTTCTTAAAAGATAATTTGTATTACACCAACAAATCAATTAAGTTTTAGATTCAAACATTTATCAAGTACTTCCTTTGTACTGTTGCTTACATCACCATTCTTTCATTTAATTCCCAAAACAAACATAGATAAAACCTTTTTACTTTCAAGCAACTGAAGTCAACAGACTTACCCAAGGTTAAATCTAATCAAATGTCATCTGGATTCAAACAGTGTGTTGAGCTTTTTCAATAAACACCCACATCTCCTTCACATTTTCTCAACTATACCTTAAAACAATGGAAGTGATACTTCCCACACACAAAGATTTTACCAAAAAAGTGTGAATAATCTCTGAAACTGTCCTTTTGAAAAATAAACTAAGACTTCATGCAAAATGCAGACTATTTCCAATCTAATTCTTACCCTCTAAAATTGTCTCCCTGAGAAGTACATAGACTATAGGAGTCAATCATTTTTTTTTTTAAATTTCTTTATTTATGCATACAAGAGCTGGGGGGCAGGACAGGGGTTGGAGGGCGTGAGAGGATTCACCAGAGACAGAGTGGGGGACAGAACTGGCAGATTGAAATACACTGCTGAGGGGAGCAGCAGGTGAGACAGAAGAGGTCTGCTGTGCCATGTGGGTCACCTCCCTGGCTGGGGGTCGAACTTATGCTGCAGTGGCTGAGGATAGCTTCATAGTACCACCAGGGAGGCCCAGGAGTCAATCAATTTATATTAAAATTAGACACCAAAAATCAGCTAATCCATAAAGAGGAAAGAAGCAAATCACATAAATTAGGAGAGAGTCTGTAAAATCTAGAATTTTAAAGGCAGTAAAGTATCTCCAGGCTTAGTGAATAACTGTATATGAGAAATTCTATTAGGCCATGTATCAGTTGAAGCAGGAAAAGTACACAAAACTGTCTCAAAGAACTGAAAAAAGAATCTACAGAAGGGAGTGACAGTGGGAATAAAACAGCATGAGTTTAGGATCTATAAGATCCTGAAAACTAAACATTTTTGGTTCACCTTTCTTAATTCATGCTATAACAATTCTACTTTTGCCATTTGTCAATGACAAATTAGCATATCGCTACCTAATATGCCCACTGAAACTAGTTTCTGTTTATAATCACTACCTTTTCTCCTTCACTCCATACACATTAACTATTTGTGGGGTATGTATAAATTATGCCCATCACATGTATAAGCACAATGTATGAAAACTGAAATCAAACTTTAAAGTGGAGAATAATGATAAAGCCTGTTTTCAGCAAAGATATATTTTATCAATATATACCCAAAAAATCACTTATTTCTTAAGAATAAGTTGCTAATTATTAGTCAAAATTATGCAATATTTCTTTTTACCTTCATGTTAAACTATAGTGCACATAAATACCTCTATAGATTGAATACTGGGATCAAGATGGTGACATAACATGTTTCTTGCTTTGCTCCTGCAAGTATTAGCATCAATGAACACATCAATAATGAGACAAAATTCAACAAGGAATCAGAACACTTTATAGGACACTGTATCCAAATAATCTGAGCAGAAATTCTTAAGTGCACACAGAACATTCTTGAGGACAGACCACATACTGAATCACAAAACATGTGTCAATGAATTAAGGAAGCTTGACATTACCACTTACTAAGCTTGACTATAATGCCATCAATTAGAAATTAACCACAAAAGCAGGAAAAACTTGTAATATTTTGAAACTAAAAATTATTACTGAATGTCTACTTGTCATGAAAAAATCAAAAGAGAATAAAATTATAGCTGGAGCGAAACAATAAAGACACGAGCTACCAGAATCTATGGGACTAAATAAAAGGAGTGCTAAGAGGAAAGTATCTATTAAGCCCACATCAAAAAACAGGAAGAGCTCAAACAAATCATCTAAACATAAACCTTAAGGAACTATAAAAAGATGAGCCAAACCAAAAATTAGAAGGAAGAAAATTATAAAAATTAGAGATATAAGTGAGTCAGAAATAAAAGACAATCCAAAAGATTAATGAAATTAAAAGCTGATTCTTTGAAAAAGTGAAGGAAAAAAAAAATTAAAAAAAAAAAAAAACACCAGGCAAAACTCTGGCTAGAAACACTAGGAAAATAAAAAGCTTCAAAATTGAAGAAGTTACAAAAGACACCTCATAAGTACAGTGAACATAGGAGACTACCATGAAGGTCTTAATTTCAACAAACTGGAAAATCTGGAAGGAACAGACAAATTCTTAAAAGCATAAAAAACTCCAAGAGTATACCTGTTAGAGGATAATCCAGAAGAATTAACCAAGAAAAAAGGTGAATTAGGAAGAAAATTCTGAGCCCAGTACAAGATGGTTTCACAAGTGAAATCTATCGAACTTTCAAAGACAAACTAATACTTATCCCTCTCAAAAGCTTCCAAAACAAGAGAAGAGGAAATGCTGCCTAACACATTCTATGAGGTTAGTATTACTGATATCAAAGGCAAAAAAGGACATCACAAAAAAAGAAAATTAGACCACTATTCCTGAAGAAAATCTTTGCAAAAATACCCCATAAATTATTAGCAAACCAAATCCAACAATACATTAAAAGGAACCATAACAAAGTGGAATTTATTCCAGGAAGCAAGGATGGTTCAACATCTGCAAAACTACAGCATTCACCACATCAACAAGAGGAAAGATAAATATCACATGATTATATTAGCAGATACAGAGAAAACATCTGACAAGATTCAGCATTCATTTATTATAAAATCTCTTACAACAGGGCTACAAGGAACATACCTAAATACACGAATGGCCATATACAAGAAATCTACAACTAATAACAGTTAATGGTGAAAAACTGAAAGTTTGTACTCTAAGATCATATACAAGACAAGGATGGCCACTTTCACAAATACTATTCAACAAAATATTAGAAGTACTACTTGAACAATTAGGCAATAGAAAGATATAGAAGAAATCCAAGCTGGGAAAGAAGTAATAGCTATCACTATTTGTAGATAAAATGATAATATACCTAGAAAACACTACAAACACCACTGAAAAATTTTACTAGAAATCACCAGTAAAGTGGCAAGCTACAAAATCAATATATAAAAATCAAAGGCATCCCTATATGCAGAGAAAGAGAAAAAATAACAAACAAACTCATTTACAATCACACAAAAAAAGAAAAACCTGGTAATAAACTTAATAAAGGAGGTGAAATACCTACATAAGGCATAGTATATTACACTGCTGAAAGAAACAGACTACACTGAAAATGAAAATATATTTCCTCCACATGAATTGGAAGATTTTTTTTTAAAGATTTATTTATTTATTTATACAAGCACTGGGTACAGTCAGAAGCATGGGAGGGTGAGAGAATTCACCAGAGCTAGAGCGGGGAGCAGAGCAGGCAGAGGACCAAAGCACACTGCTGAGGGGACAAGCGGGTGGCAGGAGCGCTCTGAGCGCCATGTGGGACACTCGCCCAGCGGCAGGGGATTGAACTGGCGTTGCAGAGGCTGCGGGCAGCTTTGCAACCCAGTGCTCAACCACTGCGCCACCGGAGAGGCCCTGAATTGGAAGATTTAAGTGTTAAAATGGCCATCTTATCCAAATCAATATACTGGTACAATGCAATTCCTGTTCCTATCCAGTGCAAAGTTTTAAAGTTATGTTTCACAAATATAGAATTTAAATTGGAATGGAAATTCATATTAAACCACAAAAGACATCAAATAGCCAAAGCAATCCTGACATAAAAGAATGGAGGCATCACACTGCCAGACTTCAAACTATACTACCAAGTTACAGTAATCAAAACACTATCGCATTGGAATGAAAAGACATGCACAGATCAGTGGAACAGAATGGAGAGCCCAAAAATAAGCCACACTATATGAACAGTTAATCTAAAACAGAAGAGACAAGATTATACACTGGAGAAAAGAAAGTCTCTTTAATAATGGATATTGGTGGGCCTTCCCTGGTGGCACAGGCGGTTGAGCAATGGGCTGTGAAGCTGTCCGCAGCCTCTGCAGCACCGGTTCGATTCTGGCTGGCCTGCCAGGGTCCCACATGGTGAAGCAGACCTCTCCTCTCTCGCCCGCTGCTCCCCTCAGCAGTATATTTCATCAGTCTGCCTGTTCTGTTCCCCACTCTGTCTCTGGTGAATCCTCTCACCCTACTGTGCATCTGGCCTGTACCCCAGTTCTTGTATAAATAAATAAATAAATCTTTAAAAAAAATGGATACTGGGAAAACTAGACAGTCATATGCAAAATGAAACGAGACCACCATCTCACACTATATACAAAAATTAACTCAAAATGGATTAAAGACATGGATGGATTAAAAAACTGTAACCACGGAATATGTAGAAGAAAATATAGGCCAAAAAAAAGCTTCAATACAAAGACATCCCAAAGCCAATGACTCTAATGGCAAAAAAATAAGTAAAATTAAAGAGACTAAAAAGCTTCTGTACAACAAGAGAAATCATCATTGAAATGAAAAAACACTCCACCAAATGGCAGAAAATACTGCCTATTATACATCAAAGATACACGAAAAACTCATACACTCAACAAAAAGAATAACCCAATCAAAACACGGGCAGGAGAGCTGTATAGACACTTCATCAAAGATGACATCAGCTGTCCAAAAGGTATATGAAAAAAATGCTAATTAAATTAACACTTTTCATCATGAAAATACAAATCAAAGTCACAATGAGA